AAATGGAGACACCACATAGAGGATAGGATCAACAAGGCACATCGGTGCTGGGCGATATGTAGGAGAACCATAGGCATGAAATGGGGTCTTAGTCCTACTATGACAAATTGGCTTTATAAAAGTGTAATTAGACCAATTCTAGCTTATGCTTCAATAATCTGGTGGACTGCTTTGGACAAAAAGTGTAATATCAAACTACTACAGGGAGTTCAGCGTACATGCTGCTTGGGTATAAGTGGTGCCATGTGTACTACTTCAACCAAGGCTCTGGAAACGTTGCTAGATATTCCACCCATTGAAACATATATAAGATATGAGGCGGCGCTTACAGCCGAACGGCTCTTTACTTTAGGCGAACTGGCCAAAAACGGTTATAGGACACGTCATCAATGTATACTGGACACATTGGAAGGTTATACACATTCATCGGACGTGCCTGATCGCATACCAGACACTGAATATGTCGGAAACTTTGAAACGCTAATCCCAGATAGAATGTCTTGGTCAAGCGGAACATTAGAGCAAATACCAGTAGGAATCCGTTGCTACACGGATGGCTCTAAATTAGGGGACAAAGTGGGTCTGGGGTTCTATATTGAAGACCCAGAAACAGAAATATACCACCGTTTACCTAATCATAACACAAGCTTCCAGGCAGAAGTACGAGCAATAACGGAATGTGTAAATTGGATTAGAATAAATATGGCGCCCACAGGGCTTAATATATTTACCGACAGCCAGAAGGCAATTTGTGCGATATCAGGTGATAGAATTAAATCTAAGACCGTATTGGATTGTAAGAAAGCTTTAACTGAATACTCTCCCAGAGGTAAGGTTCACATCATATGGGTACCAGGCCACTCGGGAGTAATCGGCAACGAAAGGGCGAATGTAATAGCTTTAAAGGGAAGGGAGCTCGATGTAGTTAACCTGACAAACGCAAAACCATTCGACGCAACAAAAGCTGAATTAAAAATATGGATGAGAGAATCCCATAAGGCCTCTTGGAATAATGAAACGGTGGGTAGAACCACAAAGATTCTATGGGGTGACCCTGATGAGAGCAAGACGAGAAATCTTCTCAAAATGAGCAAGTCTGAGGTTAGTATGATGGTACGTATTCTCAGTGGACACACAGGATTACGAGCACATCTATACAAAATTGGACGTGCGAATTCAGACGAATGTAGAGCATGTGGAGAGGACAGTGAAACTCTGGAGCACTTTCTTTGCCATTGTCAGGCATTCGTCGAAGTTAGATCCAAGTATCTTGGAAGTGATGTTATTCCGGAAATAACATTCTTAACCAACACCGATTGGAAGATTCTTAGGAATTACGTCCAGGAAACTGAGTTTCTGAACATTCAGTAAACAATTTTTTTTTTTTTTTTTTTTTTTTTTTTTTTTTTTTTTTTTTTTTTTTTTTTTTTTTCTTTTTCTTGAATTGGAGCGCACAACAGGCCCGATAGTGGCCTAGGTGTATTTCTTCGGATTTGATGTAGTATACATCCTCCTATCAACCTAACCTAACCTATTTATTTAGGACTTTATTTCTTACACTTAAAGGTAATCACAGTGAACCCTATTGGTATCCGAGTGGAAGTGTACTTAGCACGCACCCCTCAACTGAAATGGTATCTTTTAATAAACGAGTATCATACAGAAATGCCTAGGCCATTAAACAAATGCTTGGTTCCAGTTCGATTTCGTCGATTTTATTTTCATTTACTCGTTTTTCAATTAAAGACTTTTTATTATGCGCCAGCGTCGCAAACTGATCATAAACAGTGCGTATATTTTTTAATCCTAGCTCCAAAAAAAACAAGGTTTTAATACTTGTCATCTTAAAGTATCCCAAAGTAATTACAATCCATAATTTATAAATATAAATAAAGTTTATTTACCATCATAGAGTAATAGGATATATAGACAAGTATATAATTTATTTTAAATAATAATTAATAGAATTTGTTAATTTATAATGAATATAAATTTGAATGTTTTAAACGCAAGTTCATTGCAATAAACTTTCTAAGAATGTATGTTTATTTATAATTTTAGTGGTGGCTATGAGAATCTCAACATTATTATCCTCTTGTTGGGCTAGAAAACGTAGAGCAGCAATTTCGGCAAATGTACAACCACCCACAATAAAAACAAGTATAACACGTGGAACATTAAGCATTGAACCTTCACTGGGCGTGGACGAATGCCGTCCACCAATGCCAATAAGTTGAGCTTGAAAATCTTCAAATGTGGGTCCGGGTAAATTATTAATTTGGCTCTTTAGTGATTGCCAACCCAAAGGCTTTAGAGATTGTTCAACAATACGTGCCGTAAGAGGGGCATAGAAACTGTGAACATAACTTATATCTTTGGGATTAACCTCGACAGCATCATCAACTGTTAAATTTAAAGTCTGTAAAAATTTCATAATATGTATGCGATTTGTTTATAAATATATGTATGTATTTCATTTAGTTACCTTTCTTAACACAGCATAGGCCCTCGATTCTGATTGTGTATATAATATGCCAGCCTTTTCCAGATTGCTTATTTTTAATATTATTTCAATGCCATACACATGAGCCAATTCTCTTTTGTAATAATTTAAAACCTAGAAAATTATAGAAAGTAGCAATAAAGAATCGGAACAAAAATGTATGACCTCCTTAACTACCTTCTCTTTAAATCCCGATGCTGCAGCACATTGTATTGCCAATAAGCGTAATATATTATTCAAGTCCGATTTTTTGCCAATCAAATCTTCTATATAAGAACTGGGTTTATCAATATCCTCACACATCATGAACTCCTGTTCGGCAGCCAAATCATCGGTAAATTTATAGGTATCTAACTGTTTACGTATCAATTCCCCAATTGTAGTATGATTGGAAACCGATTGTTTTTGAGCCAATAGAGCAGGCAACTTGTCCACTAATCGTTTCATATCTTGTACGGATTTTTCTTGAGAACTAGCATCAGTCTGGGCGCTTATCTCTTTAGCATTGCGAGCCAATACTTTACCAACTTCATTGAAATTTTTATTACGCAATTCAGCATAGAGTTTATCACCCGAGTTCAGTATAAAGGTTTTCTTTTCTGCCGTCAAATGAGCCGGTGATGAGTCATTATCAGAGCGTGCATTAAATAGTTCGGCAGCCATGGTTAGTTGGTTCTGGCGAATACCAAAAAATTCATCCACTAAACCTTCGTAGGTGAGTTGGGTGGCAAATGCACTTAATAAATCTATAGTACGATCCAGTAATATGATTTGATCTATTGTTCCTTTTTCACCATTCGATAATAGTTTCTCCTCTGCTCCCAGTTGTTTGGCTCGTTCCCAAACACCTTGAGACATGCTGCCCTTACCATAAATCTTTGGTATTCTGCCATAAATACGCTGTAATTGTACCAAACCTACTGCCGCCTGATATAAAGCCGTAGGATCACCATCTATGGCTACATCGCGGAAAGCATTTGACCATTCCATAGAAACCACATCGTTTTCAACCGGATAAAAATTCCATGTCAATTCTTCCAACAAACCAAATTTTCCATAAACACCTTTATGTTCTAAATGCTTTAAACACAAACATGAACGTCTGGGCACAAAAAATATATGAAACATACGCCCTTTTTCAGAATTTTTTAACACTTGTGCAGCCACATCTTCCATTATTGTAACCAATGGTCTAACTATATAAATAATATTGTTGACATCTTTGGGTAGTCTCGTATCATTTCCCAGTTTTAGTAATTTAATACCGCGATCAGAAAAAAGACTTGGTGCCGCTATCAATCCAATGGGACCCAATAGTGCATCATCGAGTACAATGGATTTATTGCCTTCAACTTTTTCGAGTAAATACACCAGTTCACGACATGCTGACTCCTGTAGTAACTGCAGGTTAACCCGCTGTCCTTGTAGATACGAAAACATTAATTATACTTTTTTTCGAATAAATTTGTAAAAAATGCACTTTTTAAACAAATTGAAGAAAATTGTTGTTTTCTTTTCGTTTCGATAAACAACGACAGCTGTTTGCAAAGAGCGGCGCCGACAAACATTAACGGCGCAGATGACAAAAATTTTGGTTCAGCTTTGTTATTATTCGATTACACTGTGTGACTTCAAAAATGACTTAATATAGCCAAAAGCAGTTTGTACATCTAATTGAGTAGATCATCCTGCAATATTTAGAATTTTTAATATCCTCCGAAAATCGGATGTTATCCCAAAATAAAGAATTTTTAATTGTTGTTGGACTTAAACATTTTTAACTCAATTACGGTCATAAGTTAGTTATTAGGAACTGAATCCAATATTCACACAATTTTTTTTTGAACTTTAAGTCCAGTTCTTCCAAATGAAATGGGATATAGGTATGTATGTAGCTTGTTCCAATCGAGTTAATACTGGGAATGATAGGATTTTCTTTTTGAAAATATAAAAGTAAACAAAATACATTTCGGTTTCAAATATACACGAATAAAAATTATTTTGTATTTTGAAATTTTAAATCCATTTTTAGATCTGTAATATATGTATATTATGTACTTTAGAATTTTTAATTTTTGTAGTTTTTTGACTGAGAAACGTTGTTTTGTTGAATTCTAAGTTTTTCTGTTCAGAGGGGGTAAAACGAAAATTTTCGAAATGAAATCACTTTAATTTTTATTCTTTTTTAAAAGTTTTAGTCAAAATATTTATTAAATGTAATCCACTTTTGATCGGAATGGAATTCTGTGGGTATATATTTATATCTATAACTCTTTATTAAACATACATAAATTTTGATAAATTGGTTTTAAACTGATGATCAGATGATAAGAATGCAATATTAATAACGTACCTTGCTTTTTAACATAAAATTCAAATAAAATAAATATATTTATAAAGTCAACGGCTATTTTGTTGATTCACAACATTTGCACTATTGTGATTTATTGTTTAAATAGCATTTAAGAGAATTTGACATCTTTGTATTAAAAAGAGTCACACTCAGCTGAGCGGAGAGAAGAGAATTTTGCAAATTATAATTTTTGTTTATAATTTATTGGAAAAACAAATCTACGAAAAAGTTAAAACAGTTAAATTAAACAAACAAATTAAAAGCTGAAAACTTATCTGGAATATGAATGAAGCAACAACAATGACAAAGGATCCCATAAGGGGAACGCTGACAAAATTAATTAAACACTCCAAGTAAGTTAAATCGGGGAAACAGACGGCATCAAACAACAGATGTGCCTTAAAATCGTAGAAAATTGCTAAATTTAGCCAGAAGGTGTGGTAGCTGGAGTGCAACGCGCCAATCATTAACTTTTTAATTTTTTAAAATGGAAAAACATTTAATTTTAATAAATTAATTGTAAATTCATATTAAAATAGCATACGTTTTTTATAGTGCAACTTTTAGTGCAGATGATGTGTTGCGTGAGTTTCGCATCACCAAGGAGAAACGTAACAATCGTAAATTGTTAAAAATTCTGGAAATTATATCAAAACATCAACCTAAAGCCAGTGAACATTTGCAAGAAGCGGCTAAGTTATTAGAGAAGTAAATATATTATAAATAAAAGTTTTAAAGTTTGGGCCTGTTTTAATAAGATTTTCTATTTGCAGGAAAGATCCATTTTACTGTTTGCTCAACTTTTTAAATTACTATTCCGACACCAATATCATGCAGTCCATACGCAAAAAAGATTTGTCCACTTCAACACCTTTGTTAACCAAAAATATTTTTGATGCCGTGACGCCGGAGAGTGTAACAGATGTAATGTTTTATAATTTACCGCACACAGATTATACAATTTAACCAATGTTTTTTTCTAATTATATTTGCAGATTAAAGAACGTGTGGTCCAGGCTGCTTCTAGTGGTTTAAGTCGCACCGCCCAAAATAACAATTCCATTATTAGTGCTGCCCTTATGTCTACCACTACGGCAGCAGCTGCCAACACCAATTTAACGAATTCATTGGGTTCTACACTTTTTCCTTCCTCAAAGGCAAATCATAGCTCGGAATCATTGTGGGAATTTCATAACATTGATAATTTTCAATTTCAACAGAGTAACATTGCTGCTATACCCATAACGAGTCAGGAAAATCTTTTACTCTACGATTTAATTTATTGTTTGACGGGTATGCGTGGCTCTTATATTACGCCTGAAGGGGGCTCTAGTGTTAGTGGTCAAACGTTTTCCATGAAATTTAAGATATCTGATCAAATTCACAGTTCTTTACGCGATATTGCCCAAGAGATTTTACCCTTGGCATCTCATTACACTTGTATACAGAAATTTATACAGAAGGCTACATTTTCCAATTGCAGTCAGGTTTTGCAGGCCTTAAGTGAAGCTTTAAATAATTTAATACATGATTATTATGTGAGTATTTGAACATTTTTTAACTGATGTTTGTAAAATATAAAATTAAATGTTCTAGTTCCCTTCCAGAACAGTTCATTTCTAGTTCAGATCTTGTTCAATTCTAGTTCAGTTCTTGTTCAATTCTAGATTATTTCTAGTTCAGTTCCATTACAGTTCTAGTTCAGTTCTAATTCAGTTCAAGTTCAGTTCTAGTTCAGTTCAAGTTCAGTTCTAGTTCAGTTCTACTTCAGTTCTAGTTCAGTTCTAGTTCAGTTCTAATTCAGTTCTAGTTCAGTTCTAGTTCAGTTCTAGTTCAGTTCTAGTTCTAGTTCAGTTCTAGTTCAGTTCTAGTTCAGTTCTAGTTCAGTTCTAGTTCAGTTCTAGTTCAGTTCTAGTTCAGTTCTAGTTCCGTTCTAGTTCAGTTCTAGTTCAGTTCTAGTTCAGTTCTAGTTCAGTTCCAGTTCAGTTCTAGTTCAGTTCTAATTCAATTCTAGTTCAGTTCTAGTTCAATTCTATTTCATTTATTGTTTAGTTTAAGTTGAAATCAAACCATTACTCCATACAAATATCTGCACAAAATTGGACAATTATTTACAATAAAAGAAATCCTTTTATGAAAAACTATGTAAAACCTCACAATTTTAGTTACTTTTGGCGCAATTGGAATCGGAGCTAAATGCCGGCAATTTGACATTGCACAAAATGTTATTTTATGTAAGACCCACCTTAAATACCATGGAAGTATTAGCAGGAGCAGTATCGCTAATAGTGGCAGTAAGTGAAAATAAAAAAATCTTAATACAAAAATACTTAAAAAACTAAATTCACAGAATGAATTACGCGGTGGTCAGGCTTTAACTTTGCTATTCAATCAAATTAGTGCCTTGACTGGAGATGAGGAATCACAAAAATTTATGATACAATTAACACAAAGAGCTGCTGTGCCCTATATGAATATTTTACAATTATGGATACAAAAAGGTGTCATCAATGATCCACAACAAGAATTTCTGGTAGAAGATAATGAGGTAATTAGAAGAGAAGAATTACCAGAACACTATTCAGCTGATTATTGGGAAAAACGGTTAGAGCTTAACAAATATAATTAGTATAACACGTTAACACTTGTATCTTTTTTCCAGTTACACCATACGTCGCGAACGTATTCCCTGCTTTTTGGAAAAAGTCTCCGATATTATTTTACGCACGGGCAAATATTTAAATGTCATTAGACAGTGCGGCAAAAAGGTTACCCTGCCTCAAACTATGAATTTACAATTTTCACCCACTAATCAAAATCATATTGCGGTGGTACAAAACGCTTATCGTTTTGCCTCTAAGAATTTGTTGGAAGTTTTACTTAAAGAGAATGATTTAATGGGTCATCTAATGTCAGTTAAACGTTATTTATTATTGCATCAGGGTGATTTTATTACACAATTTATGGATGCTTGTGAAGATGAATTGGCGAAAAATGTCGATAAAGTTTTACCCATGACATTGGAGAATTTATTGGGTTTAACTTTGCGTTTGTCTTCGGCCAAACATGATCCCTATAAAGATGATGTTCATTGTGAGCTGCTGACATACGATTTAGTAACACAAATGTCAAAGATAATGAATAATGAGGAAGGTAAGTTTATGATAAGGTATTTGGGATAAAAAACTTGTTCCATAAATGAAATCAAAGTAGGAAATTTGGTGGTTATTGATATATAAATTGTTATATATAAGAAAAACTTTTAAGTGTTCCGATAGTTGGAGATGATAGAGTGCTGGTCTATCAGCATGGTTATCGTCAGTTCGATTCCCACCAGTTATTCTAGTTCATCATTCAAAAAATAACTGCCAAATTAATCCCGATTCTGAAAATTACATTACTACATTGTAGGGTATAATTTTAGTCGTGTTTCATTGTCAATATTTCCTTACTTGTTTTGTTTTCTCTTTTAGAATACTGGCAAACGCATGATCGTTTAGATTTGAACGGTTTAGAATGTTTTGCTTTTCGTTATGAAGTCAAGTGGCCCGTATCTTTAGTATTAAATCATATTGCCATTTCCAAATATCAAATGTTATTCCGTCAACTCTTCTATTGCAAACATGTGGAGAGGCAATTATGCAAGTAAGTAGTCAATCAATATATTTTCAATATAGTTTTATGTTTTAGCCATTACACATTGATTACAAACTACCCCCATTTTGCGTTTACATTTTTAAACAGAATTTGGAAAGAAAATTCTATTGCTAAAAAGTTTTCACCGCAGGCGGCTGAACTTTATCGTTCGGCATTTACATTACGACAACGTATGATGAATGCTGTACAAAATCTAGAATATTATATGATGATTGAAGTAATAGAACCCAACTGGCATATATTTATACAGAATATGAGTAAGGTAAGTGACAAATACTTAAACTGCAGAAGACAATTTTAAGTTTAAAAATCTTTAGATTTTCAAATTAAAAACCCGAGATTTCTTAGATTTTTTAGTTAATTTTCTTTTCTAATTGGGATTAGTTTAGCTTTCCTATTGATTACACATTTCATCTAGCTCAAACATCTATACTTTCAAATTTCAGGTGGAAAATGTTGATGAAGTTTTGTCCTTTCATCAAGATTTTTTGGATTCTTGTCTCAAGAATTGTATGCTAACAGATACTACAGCCTTAAATCGTTCCATATTTAAAATGTGTAACATTTGTTTAAAATTCTGTGAATTTATTCAGGTAAGCTGTAAAATAGAACTATAAATTTATTATTGTTTTATTAATTAGTTAAATAAAATAATTTATTTATTCGTCTTGCACTTGTTTTCTGTCAAACAAGTTTGTGTGTTTATTTTATCTTTTTTCCTTAAACATTTTTTTAAGTTCTTAGTTTCGTTGTTAGAATAATTTCGATATAAACTATTTAAATTGATTTATTTTATTTGTTGTCTAAATACTATTTATGTATATTTAATATTTCTACTAAAATCTACAAAAAACACATAAAAAGAAATCGCAACGTTTCTTTCTTGATGCCGAACTTACATGTATGATGTGTGATAGTAATGACGAGGATAATTCCGATTCAGATCATGACTTCTCTAGTCAAAAACAGGTATTTGTTTAAAAAGCGGTTTCTGTTTTCAATGTCGTACTTTTTTCTTTCTTTTTTTTATTAAATAAATCATTTATTAAATAGCTATACATATAAAAATAATTCAGTCAGTGTTTAATTGTTATTAATATTTAGTCATATGTAATAACAACGTATTATTTTATTTGCATGATTAAATTTTTACAAGAAATACATCAATATAAAGTAATATTTTCATAGTGTTTACTTACAATTGTATTAACTATAACTAAATTTACGTTAAACTTTATTTAAAATACATTCTTTTTAATTGCATAATTTTTAATTTTGAAATTACAATTTTCTAAAAAGTTAATATTAAATAGGACGTCATTATATTGCAATTAGCTCTACAGGGCATGTCGGCACAATGACTAATAAAATCACAATTTTAAATTATATTTTATCCAAGTTGAGCATTTGAAAAATACTCTCAGTTTCAGTTTCTAACCTTAATTCCATATGATTAGAAGTTCAGCAGTCTGTCGATCGAGATGTTGAGCCATAGTGTCTGCATGATCCAAGAGATGAAACATTACAGCGAAAATTTTACAGTAGATAACTTTCCTAGAAAAAGTCTGGCCAGATATTCGAAATTTTTTAAATATTATTACACCAATATTGACACCTGATGAATATATATTACCATTATCCGTTTACGCATTATAGACATATTTATGAATCTTGTTGAAAGCTGAAAGATCGAGATTTTATTGACCATCACCATAACTGATAAAATGTAAGAAATGTCCGGCCTATGGTGATCTGGGTTACTTTATATGTAAGCTAGAGATTTAGATTTCACTTGTGAGGTTATTAGTTCTTTTTTTTTAAAAACGCTTTTGGCCCGCTATTTAGAAGGTTTCTTAAATAGTCAACTTATTTCTATGATAAATCCTATTATGCTGCTCAAATCATATCCAGCAGTATTCACAAGTTCATGCATAAATCTAGTGCCTAGCTATCCGTTCTACTATTCCCGGATTGGTTGAGGAGTAGTGACAAATTTGAGGCAAAACCCCTCGGTCCCTGATTCAAAGGTCTAGATCTTGTTCATCTGCTAACTCATTTCCCCTATTATTACAGTGCCCTGCTATCTACAACAATCTAATTGATGTAATGTATATAACTCTTCTGGAACTTTTCTGCAGTCTGACACCGGTCTAGACGGAGAAGGAATGCCACCAACTTCTCTTGTGATTTAAGTTCAAATTAATGTGCGGTTCTTAGCCTACCTAGGTGGAGACAAGAACACCACCCCGAACCCTCAGCACGGTCGGTTTATAGGTAGCTTAGGTCTCCTGAAGGATAGGGCACAACTCGTTACATAAATTTAATGGGCCCTATGTGGGACGCGATATGCCCTATACCGAAGTGGGAGACAAGAACACCACCCCAAAAACTGAGCACGGTCGGAATAATAGGTAGCACAGGTCTCCTGAAATATAGAGCATATCGAGTGAACCGTTACATAAATTTAATGATTATTAAATTAATACTACATTTTAAAGCCCTAAGCGGCGCATGACTGTCAACATGGATTGTAATTGCCGAAACCTCTGTGACATATGCCTTAATCAACTCTCTTCTTCGACCAAATAGCCTCCATCCCCTGTGTCAGCGTTACCCTAAGAACCGTCAGTAAATACTGAACCCCGAAATACGAACAGTTAATCTTATCCAATCCACTCCTCCCTAGTTGGGAACTCAACTGGACTCTGAAAAACTCCGCACATAGTTCTCAATAGGTTGTTAGTTAAAACTTCCTGCACGATGTCACTGATGGGCATATGCGACTATCTTCCTTATATTTAGACTCAAAGATTTTAAGATCAGCGTTTACCACAAAAGACTAGAAAGATTTCCTCTTTGCGGTGTACCCCCGGTAACTCGTCTTCTGATCTTTTCGTCCCCTAAGGTTGATTATATATTTGGTTTTATATTAGGTATTCTTTTTGCGTAGATAAAGCAGCATGTCGCTTTCTGTAGTTCCATTTAATTAGCAATATGTTCAAAGTTCCACAGCCGTATCATGTAACTCCTCTCACTTTTTAAATGACTCAGTTAGGTTTAGAGTTTCTCTCATTGAAAAGTCAACGCCAAAGTCAACGTAATGATTGTAAATTAAGCTTATTTTTATAACTATCATCAAGACGATCTGTCTGTTGAAAACCTAAACAGGAAAAGCCAGAAAGTTTAAGCAATATAAATTGGACTGGACCCTTTCTGAAATCGGTCCATAATTGACCATATTACCCCTCTTTATTGTCAATAAATATTTAAAATTATTTGTTATTACATGTAAATTACTCTTTCAAGTTTTGAAGAGTTTGATCCATAATGAAGGCAGACTTCGATCACCCAGCAAAATTCTGAATATTTGAGGTTGTAGGGAAAATCCTTGTTTTACTTCAGCGTTTGTGTGAAATGATTGGCTAATGTTACCATTGTAAAGAACTGAGAGTTCTGCATCCTCGTACGTAACTCTTTCCCTGTATTATGATGGCCAACATTTAGTGTATGGTAGCAAGCAGAGTAATTTCTCTCTAGTTGTTGCTATCTTTCAAGTCGCTACCTTTCGGTATCTTATCGATGATGACTTTTTTCCCATATTGGACGTAACCGTTCTTCCACCCAGACTAGTATGATGCGAGGTCTTAGAATTCAGGTTGTGGTTTCGACGTCAATCTGTAGAATTTCTGCTGGAGTTCCCTTGTTAGCTGCTGCCTTATTATTTCTAAACTTCCCGATGGCTTTATACATGTATCTTGCTTGATATTCTCAATGCCTTTTTCAAAGGGCTGCTGTGTTCAATTCTGTTGTCTTCATTAGTTACGTCTGAGGCAATGTTACTGATTTTCTTGAAATGTTCCCTCCATCTTTGCGTATGTAGATCATTGTTTGTTAGCAGTGCACCACTGCGATTAGCAACTTCGAGAATACTCACCCCCATAATCATAAATGCTTAATAAAGTTGTTTATGGTTTATTGTAGGACTTTTGTATGGAAAATGTTTGTAATAAACCTAAAATAAATTATTAATATCTTTATGAATACGGGGGTAAATGTTTATTTAGGTGCAATGCCTAATTTAATAGAAGTCAACGTTTACTTATTTTGAGATTAACAATTCATTGGATATCAAAATTTAGAACATATGAAGTGTATAATTTTTTTACCAAACTTATAAAATAGTTCTTAATATTTAAAGAGCAAAATAATTTCATTCATCTTTTAATAGTTTAATGTTCATTAAAATAATTTAAAAAATATTTATTTATATATATTTATGCTAGCACTAATTTTTTAAATAAATTCTCTATATTTCTTCTCATTTACAGTCAGAATCTTCTTTAGCACCTACTGATACGTTTTCGGAACGCGTTAAACGCTTTGATTTAGAATTCACCGGTTTGCTAATTGGTCTGCTGAAGCAAATAAACGATGTTGCATCGGATAATCCATCAGATCGTTTTATTAATTTAGTACATCGTATTAATTTCAATTCATTCTATAATGAACAAATGGATAAATTATGCGCTAAGGATTCAATGATAACAACAACACATCATTGAAATCGATTAAACAATTTTCATTTCACAAATATCAACCATAATAAAGAAATAATGATGATAATGAATACTCAAACTCCATACCATCTCTTCTACAATTACACAACTACAGCTACAAATCTGCATTATTTAATATAATTAAATTTGAAATGCAATGTTTATCTTGCCATTTGTTTGTAGTACATCCATACATTCAACGTTGTGGGACGTTGAATTTATCTCTATGCATATAGACTGAGATGATGGAAACCTTTTAAAAATTGTATGTATTTTTTCCTGTTGTGTATTATTGCTGCACAAAAACAAAAATCAATTACTCTGAAATCAATATGAACGACTTGTATTTAGAGAAATGTTACGTGTAAAACAAGTTGAATTTTTAAATAAATATTATTGCAAATTTTACCAACAAAACAGTGCCACTCTAATCCTTTTCTAAAGTCATCGATATGGTGAATGTTTTTTTTTTTTTAATATACATAAATGAGTATGAATCTAAGTATGAACCTTTGAATGAATGTGCCAATATACGAAATACTAAATATACAGAATGATTAATGACGAATTTGTCTTTGCTATACAACATATACATAAGTATCTGTATACAGGGTGTTTTATTATTAGGATGCAGAATATTCCAAAGCTAAGGCAATAGACACAGAAAAATCTATTATCATCATCATCTATATATTAATACGCAAAGCCAAAACGATTGGGAACATTTTCCGTCTCTATTACTTGACCGATTTTCTTGATTCTTTTTTTGATGAATGCAGATTCGCGAGCCTCACTGCAGAATCTATATATGATCAAAATCGGTTCAGTATTTAAATATAAGCGTTTAAAGTTTCTACCAATACACAATCACACAAACATGTGCTTGAATTAAAAAATAGAAAACAAAATAAGAAAGCAAAACAACACTGTTTTTTTTTTTTTCATTGTAGAAAAAAGAGAGGAGAGTGTAAAAACATGTTACTTCTCTGTTGATGGTTTATTTTTGTATTTTGCAATGATATTTTTTGTTGTTGTTTTTAATAAGATTTTTTTAAAATAATATGTATACAGACAGGCTTAGGCAAAGCGAAAATATGATTTTATTGTTTTTTATTTTTTAAAAGTGTAAAGTAATAAATTGTGAATGTAATAATTATATTATTGATGTAAGATACAAGAGGATGATGATGTTTGATCTGGGAAAACATTGCTGGGACAACAATTCTACATAAATGTTAGTTTTTATTGATTTTAAAGATTTTAATGATGGACAAAAACAAAGCCTTTTAAAATATAAGTAGGATAGTTTAGTTTGTCATGTCGGTACATGATACACCGTAATAAATGAATCAGTATATCGCTAATACGTAGGTTTAGCACAGTGAGGATTTGATGATATTCTTCTTTTTCGGGTTTTTTTAACCAATTAGGAAGAAGGCGGTTGTTGAAATAGAAGTGTAGAGTGAAAACTGTAGTTTGTGTAGGCGATGGTTACTTATATGTTTTATAAAAATAGATGGTTGATGACTGCCCCTTCTTAAGGTGGTATTAGAGTAAAATACGTGTCGTCTAATACCACCTTTAGCAATTTATCGTTTATTATTCTTTTACTTGCAATTAAACTTACATATGTTAATATAAGTATAGTTTATTAACGTTTTCTTTCAAACATTTCTTAAGAAGTACTTAAATAATTATGAAAAAATAATAATAACTAAATCATGGACAAACTCTTGATGTAAAGAGGCGTTTAAGTCTTATTCTCCAGATGCAAGAATCTATCCCTGTTGCAAAATCTCTCTTGCCTATGCACTTCTATGCGAAAGCTAATAGAATGCCTATTAAAAGGTCTTCGCTTAAAGGCCTATAAGTAGTACAGCTTCATAGAATATCTACTATTAAATTCGATTAAAAACATTTAAATTTAAGCCAAATAAGTAGTAAGTCAGCTGAAAGAAGTCTTTATCGAGTGTTATAAGGGAGAATTTATACAACATAAACCTGAAGGATGGACTTTTTATACAAAAGGCAGCAAAATTTATTTATTTCTTATAGAGATAATATATACTATATATACTCCTGTTCCAAAATCACATTCCGATCTAAAATGGAGTTATTTAAGTAAAGATATTTATTAAAACTTAAAAAAACATTAATTTAAAACATCCCACTTTAAAAATTGAAAGTGGTTTATTCAAAAAACAAAAACCCGGAAATAATTCCACTTTTGATCGGAATGAAATCCTTTTACAGTCCTGATAGCAATAATTGCAAAATTGAATTTTAAATGAAATTTTGTTAGATCGTAATTTGCAATGTACTTTTGAAGGACTACTTCAAGTCTACCTTCTGCGCAAAAACATAGTTACAAAAGATGAAAACACAGAAGATATGTTGAATTTTGGTCATTAAAATCTATGTCCAGTTTTGAAAAAAAGCTTATAGGTTTGGATTCTGTGCACTCTTGAGAATATTAATCTATTTTTGTTTTTGTTATCTGTCAGCTATAAAAACCAAAAAACAAAATTGGATAGTTTCATAAACAAATAATGATTTTTCGAATTCAATTGTTATAGCCCTATTGAAAATATTTTTAGGGGTTTGTACTTTTCTGATTCCTCTTAAAAAATTACAATTTCACTTCCAAATAACTATAAAAAATATATTATAAAAATAAATTCTTGAGAATGACTTCAGGAGTAATGAATTTGGAATCAAATAAAAGAGACATTCCGCCTATAAATAATCTGTGTTAAAATCATCACTTCTGTAGGTCTTTTCTTTTTTTTTTGCTGGGATATTGAGATATAGGATGAATATTATTACAGGTTACAAAGGAATAGTGCTGGGCAGGTTCGACATTGTTTACGACAAGGGGCATGAATGATTGCTGGAGGAATTGGCAGATTGTTAAACATAGAAAATATCATATTGTAAAGAATGAATACATATATCATATTGTAAGTTTTGCATAGATTTTATAAACATTTATGTAGAGGATAATAAATCGAAATATTTTTGAAAAGTATGTTGCATAAGTAATTTTAGAACTTAGATTTTAAACTTCTTTCAGAATTTAACCAAATTTTATCACATTTTCTAAAAGAATACGTTGATCAAAGCAAGTTTTACACTTTGGTAATAGTAATAGGAATATTTTTTAAAGACATTTGAACTATAAAAGTAGGGATTTATTATCGAGACTATAAACTATTCTATTACGGAATCTTTATCGAAACCACAGATTATTACGTATTCGAGACTATAGAGATTTATGTATTCTAGACTATAGATTATTCTATACTCTCGACTATAAAGCAGTTTATATTTAGAATGTATATATGTATTCCCAGTCCTTATAGATAGCGGAGTCGATTTAGTCATTTCCGTCAATTTGTATGTTACACTGTCTGTCCGTATGTATGTTGAAATCAGTTTTCAGAAAACCCCAGACCATTTCGGGAAGTTTTCTGTTTAAAATTTGTATTTTCCAGACATTAACATAATTAAAAATTATAAGAATCAGTTCAAAATTTGATATAGGTAGGTTAGGTATTAACATGTTGTCCCTTTGTAAAAATAGAAAAATAGCGATAGTGGAAAAAGAGATAGAAAAGACAGAAAGGAAAGAGTGAGTATAAACTAAAGACATATCATTGAATAGAGACGTAATGTAAAGATTACATCCTGGTGAGAATTTGAAGGTTACACTCATTTTGACAGATTCAAAAATGCAGTAAGTCGTTCTCATTGAACATTCTTTAGATTCGATACATCGTTGAACTTCTGAAAGACCAATGCTTCTAGCATGTTTACCAAATTTACAGTGACAAGTAATGACCGATACCAGATTACATAGTTGTAGTCTATGCAGACCAAGGAGATAGGTAGTACTACGTACTAGTACTTCTGGAAGTCCATTGCTTCTAGCATGTTTACCAAATTTACAGTGACCAGTAATGACCGATGCCAGATAACATGGTTGTAGTCTAGAATATAAAATCGTCGAAATTATATTGTATAGAATATTATGTAGTCGAAATGTAAGTTTTATAGTAGAGACTTATAGTCTGTTCTGTAGTCGAGAATGTATAACATTCTACGGTCTTGTCTGTATTAGGATTTATAGTTGATATACATAAAAGACTATTATATAGCCTACTAAAGTAAATTGCTATACCTTTGTATATCTTATTGGAGAACCCGTTGCTTTCATTTAGACACTAGATTAGAGTGACCATGTGTTTAATGAGTCGATTATGTATCTCGGTTGTCACTTCAGTTGTAAAAATGATGTGGTTACTGGACGTTTTTTAAGCAATAACTTGGAAATTTTATAAATAATGAATTTTTTGTCATTAATAATATTCGTCCAATGAGTTTTTAGTTGACTTGAGCCATTTTTAGACTTAAACCATTCTCTTATTTTGAAGCTGGCAACGCAACTGAAGTTCGGTTGCCATACATAATCGTCTAACTAAATACTAGTTTTCAGATAGTGTACCCTATTGTTACTACTTTCCATTTCCTAAACCTTTAGTTTTATTTTTTAGAAAATATTAATAACGATCGCTCTTTGAATAAAGTACAAATTTGAATAAAGAAAACTTAAACTTTTGTTTGGAATATCGGTAACATATTGCAGGGCCACCTCAATATACATATGTACGTTTATGCATGTACATATGTATGTATGTATATAATGGGTTGTCAAAAGTATGTACTACATGTAAAATAAATTTAAAAAAAACATTTTTTCAAAAGCGAACATGATTACGGTTTTAATAATTCTCTTGCATTTTTAAAAATTTTCGATAATACAAAATCAATTTCATGTATGTATGCACGTTTGCTTGTTTTATCATATGAGTAGTTAGTAAAATTGGCAATAAATACCACAGATACATTAAGGATTGAGGTTTATAAAAAAAATATTTATTTATATTAGAGGTGCCCTGAAAATGACCCGTGCCCAAAATCGATTGAAAAGTGTAGGACTTTTTAGATTTCTACAAAAATTATGCCTAACATTTCGACCAAATCTTATCAACAGTATTATTGAACAAAATATATTAAAGACCCTTCAAGGTCGAAATTCAAAGCTCGGAAATGCTTTCTATATAGACCTGTGAAATGTTTATTAAAAACGGAACTACCATTTAGAAATTACAAATTATGAAACGCTAATATAAAAGTAGATATACAAATTGGAATGATTTTAATAACGAAGGCGTATCCACACACTTTTTTCAACAGTTGAAACTAATTGAACAATACAACAAAAATTATGTTCAATAAAAAAATCATTTTTTCGCACATTTAGAAACACCTTAAAATTTGACTATAAAAATATAAAGGTGTCCTGTTGAGTACAATTAGGAAGCTCTTTGGTTGGCAGTACAAGTACCAACAATAAA